CAAATTTAAATGTAGTTCGTCCACTACTCCACTGGGCAGATGCAACAAATGCTATTTTACTTCAGAAGCACTGCTATTGGTCGAAAAAGATCAAGTTTCAAGGACAAAGAACAGCTCAGAAGTCCGAAAAAATAGTCAGTCAGTTGGTCACAGCCTGTGACTCACAGGCCTGGCCACATTAAAGAAAATATCGGAGACGGCTGTTACTGCTGTTCCCGATATTTTTTGTTCATTGAATATTGCTATTTGCCGAATCATGGGTGCACGTCCCACTCCCATTCATACAAAACCTTACCACTTCACGGGAATAAAATATCTCCTTTCCCTAAAACTCAGGCCAATTGACAACGCCGCGAGGTATTTGCCTTTTTGCTTTGCTGAAATATCGAAATCCCAGATGTTCACTGTTACTGAGCAGCATCGTAGGCGAGCCCTGTTATTTTAAATATCGGGCACAGGTACCGACTGTTCCATATCGATATCTGTTCCAAAATACCTGTGCCGTGTGTCATCCTTAAAACGGTGTTAATCAGTATGCATAAGTCTTGTTCTATGCCTGTCATGCATGTGTCATGCAAGTTGTCTCTAATATTAGGTAAATAAATATTATTAGACTTATGTAGGTTATTACACAAGACAAAAATTCGTCGATTATCAAAGTCGAAATGTTCTAATTCGTTGTTTTTCAATCTCCAATATTTACTTCCTTTAATTAAAGTTACACCATGTCGAAAGCGATTAGCAATTAGCCTAGTGTTAAGACGCTAAGAATGCTGCTACACGTGCACGATGGCATTTTTGTATAGCATAGTATAATTATACATTTACTACACCCACTCGTGACTGTTGTGAACAGTAGCATTCAGATACGAAGAAGATCTTGTCTCTGGCCTGGCGTGTAATCCAATCCACATACCAACATTTGAATGAAATAATCAGCAAAAGAACAATTCTCAACTTCACGCCAACCTCGATCATGGATGTCGATTGTAAGATATTGTATGCCTTTAGAGGTTGGATAGGCTTCGTAGCATTTATGGATTTAGGAATAACAGCGAAAAGCTTTATAGAGGGAAGATCTTTCCTAACCAAGAGTCTGCTGGAATACAAGGCTGAGGAACATACCATATCTAGAATTTTAGGCATGTTTGCCCTACTAAAAGCGGTAGTTTTAATTTACAGCACGTTGTACATTCATTGCAAGCCTGTAGTCGATTTGGGTAGATGGTCGTTGGCCATTGCCATTCTACTCTATTTTAATGAGACATTTTGCCATCATGCCTCCACCTTGAACCCGACAGTAATCTTTCCCTGTGTCCTTAATATAGTCACGTTGATGGGAATGCTCTACTTGCCGGACAAATTAGATATATGGGGATTGCGAATAGGGGGTGTAGAGGACAATGATCAATTGCTGAAGCAAATTGGAAATGTGAGAAGGCGAAAGCCTATTAAAAAGCTTTGAGTGACTGAGTTGGATGCTCACTTTGATTTACATTCAAAGTAATATACATATTTAAAAAATCGTTACCATGTTAATATAAATACCATTTTATGGCAAACTACATAAAGAATGTTTTATTTCAAATTTCTTCAAGTAGGTACCCAGTTATAATAAGTGCCGTGTAGGTATCTGATTCACAAATAATGTTGTGAACATCGATATGGAACAGTCGGTACCTGTGCCCGATATTTAAAATAACATGTGATTTGAAATAACAGGGCTCGCCTACGGTGCTGGTCAGTACCAATCAACATCTGGGATTTCGATATTTCAACATAGCAAAAAGGCAAATACCTGCCTTTATGCCTTTTGATTCCCCGCGGCGTTGTCAATTGGCCTGAGTTTTAGTGAAAGGAGATATTTTATTCTCGT